CCAACAGCTTTATCTTTTGTTACAGATGTTCATCCTATAGATTTTGTTGTTGGGAATAAAGTTGAAGAACGTGGAATTGAATTCAGCTTTGATTTGGTTGAAGAGAAAACACTTAATCATGTTGCCCTTAGTGAGCCAAGCAATTCTAAACTCATTACTGGATGCATTCTTTGGGGTTGGTACTTTTGTTCTAACTCTTCGGAGAAGAGTTTTTCTAAGCGGAGGAGAATTGATGGAGAACAAGGCGCAACTCAAGAGCTAGAACCACATATGACCCGAACTTATCATTAGAGAAGGGGAAAAGAAAGATAAAATTAGGGATATTAGTAAATTAGGGTTTTTATTTATGGTTATGGTTATTTATAATAATGTTTTGATTTTGGGGGTATTTTAGTACTTTGTTGTTTTAGGGTTTGTTTATGTTTTGCCTATATAAAGGCCCAAATGTAATCAGACAAATCGGTTTTTGGAATATTGAATATTATCGTTTAGTTTGCGAACTCCCTTTGTGTCTCTTCTCCCTCTCAAGCCCAGCTCAGTTTCAGAACCAAAACAGAGTATAATCTGTCCACACTTCAGTCTTTGGAGCAACTTTTGGAGCCATCTTTGTTATGGTAGCTACCTCATACTTTGGTAAAGGTACACATGCTTCCTTGAAAATTGTTCTTAGTACTTTTATCTGTTTATTAAGTCAATAAATTTGCAAAAGGTCCTTGCTTGAATTATAGTCATTTTTGTGTAGACTGACCTTCTGCTACCATGCCCTCTAAATTCTGTCATCACCAATTCTGCACCTGATTTCCACCTTGCAGCAATTCTCATACACTAGTTTGCAACATTCACATGATTTACTTTATTTCCATTTTTGCTTCTTGTGTGAGCATTGCATTAATTTATAATTTGGTTTACTTAAATTTAATTTGAGTCCTATATCGGCATCGTGACAAATAAGAGACAAAATTTTGGTAATGTCGAACCAATGATCTTATGAAAACTTCAACTATTCAATCGCGTCAAGTCTTAGAGTGTAGGTATCCTCCACCTAAGTACTTAAATGTTGTGAATAAAATTGAACCATTCCCTAGCCATGTGAGAAATTGGAAAGAAGATGAGACCTATAACAATGTCTTGACAAGCGTTGCATCAGTTCTCTTAAAGAAAGATGATTGGAGACACACCCATCTATTCCATACACGCCTCCAATGCAGAGATAAAGTTTGTAAAATCATCATTGATAAAGGAAGTTCAATAAATGTAGTGTCAAATTCAGGGGTTGATAGAATGAAGCTTCAACCCGAACCTCATCCAGAGTCATATAGAGTGGCCTGGGTAGAAGAAACTTCCTTGATTGTCTCTGAGAGGTGCTTAGTTCCAATTCAAATGGGTGACTACTCTGGCATGATTTGGTGTGATGTCTTACCTATGAAGGTAGCCCATGTACTTCTTGGTCGCCCATTGATACGTGATTTAAATGTGAATCACTGTTGTAAAGAGAACACGTATACCTTCAAGTATAATGGCAAAAATAATCCCGCAAGACCATTAAAAAGTGACTCTAAGGCACAATATAGGCCCTCTCCTCAGCCTTGTGTTGATGAACTCATGTTAACAACAGAAATGGCAAAAGAAGTTTTACAAATTCCATCTGAAAATGTGTTTAAATATCAATCACCTGAATCTAATGTCCCACGTCATCCCATTCTAGATAATCATGTAGAGGATGTTAGAATTCATGATTCACACACTTCCACTGTTTCAGGTAGGGACGTTAAGTATGCAGGCTATTTTTGGAAAACACTTTGGGCATCTTTGGCCACTAGTTTGAAACTTTCCTTTGCATTTTGTCCTGACAAAAAATTTGAGGTTGTTAATCACGGTATAGGAAAGTTGGTTAGTTATCTTGTAAGAGTGCCCTTAAACACTTCGGACTTTTTGTTCTCTATTGTGGAGTTTGCATAAAATATAGCTTGGTCAATTGGTCTGGAAGTTGTTCTTTTGAGATTATACCTCTGATTTTCCTTCTCCAGCCCATTAACTTTATTTTGTTGCCTCCGCATCCTTGTTCATTTGAAATCTCTGATTCCTTTGTCGAGTCATGCCGATATACGACGACAAATTACTTTGAGTAATAAAAATTATGAATTTATTGCATATGCTCATATTAGGAATCAGAAGTTCATTAATGGAGATTATGTTTTTATTTGAGAATCACCAAAACCTTCTAACTCCTTTGAGACTTTGCAAGCCCAAATCAATCGATATCTCCACATCACTCCCAATTACGGACCTTATGCACACTTATTTGACTTGACATCGGATAATAGTATTAGTCCAATTTTTCATGTGAAGTATTTGATGCCTAACTGACGTACCTTTGAGCCTCTTAAGTGCTATCATTAGTTTGTGCTTCTCCAGGTGGAATTACATTTTCTTCAGCAGCATCACTTGTCCTCCCTTCATGTCAACTATGGCATTTGAATTCGATTAAGGATATTATTAACAGTCAGAGTGAGTCACAATGGATGTATTATCCGGCTTCAAATGTTTCATGGATTACAGATGAGTCTTACCGTGTTGATTCGAGCTATTTCGAGCAATACTTCACGCTTTACTCTTCGGGGAAGAGTTCTTCTCCGCTGAGGAGAATTGATGGGGAACGAGCTATAATGGTTTTCATGGATGATGAGTCTCACATGTTCAAGCTCTAATTTTGGAAAAGGGCAAAAGAAAGATAGAATTAGGGATTTTAGTAAATTAGGGTTTTACTTATGCGTATGGTTATTTTTAGTACTGTTTTAATTTCAAGGATATTTTAGGATTTTATTATACAGGGTTTTGTTATGATTTTGCCTATCTAAAGGCTCCTTTGTAATATGAGAATTCAGTTTTTGAGAAATTGAATATTATTGTTGAGTTTGCGAACTCCCTTTGTGTCCTTCTCCCTCCTTGTTCTTGTTGTTCTTAATCCCTCCGTCTATCTATCCTACCTCCTACCTCCTTCAGTCTGATTTCTCACCCCCTTCGTCTGTCCTCTCATCACTTTCTTCTCGGCTTATCTCATCTTCTCATTATCATCCCTTGCTTTCCTTCTGGTTACTATCTTTTAGTATCTGAATACTATTAGAGACTACTTGTCCTGCGTCATAGACAAACACTCATACACAAGGTACATACAGAGGATACATCATTGACTGTAGATTTTTGTGAGTTTATGTGAGTGCATATATTTTTCTTTTATTTTATCATACTTAGTTTTGGAGAGTGTATACAGTTTAATCCACAGAGAAGCAAATTCGTGATTCACTAGTGGCTAAGACTGATTCATTAGAGAAACAGATTCGTAAGGAGCAGATGTTATTGATGAGCAAAGCAATGTTTGGAGACTTTTCGAGGAGAAAGTTTGGAGTCTTCTGTATCAAGGAGGTAATAGATGTTCGAAGGTTACTCAACTATTAACCAAGGTTGTAGTCCATCTTTCTTGATAGTGAATTAGTTTGCATGGACAAGGTCCTGTGGTTTTTCCTTTCCCTTTCGGAGGGTTTTTCATGTAAAAATCTAGTGTTCATCATTAACTGCTTTATTGCAGTTAATTTTGTGGATTGCATGATTTTTCATTCTTCTAGCTTATTTTGATTAATAAATTTGTTAGTTCTTGTTACGACAAGCCCCAACAACCAAGAACAAGTCACGAATCACAATAGAAAAGCAAACACGCCACACACAATGAACACAAAGATTTACGTGGTTAGGCTTAAGAGGCCTACGTTCATGGTGAGGATCCGGCAAACGATTTCACTATGCAAAAATCGAGAGATTACAAGTTTCAGCCTCCCAAACCCTAGTTCTTGCTCTCTCTCTTTCCTGCGATTTTCACTGTCTCTTGCTATCCCACTCCAAACCCTAAGGCCCCGTTTGGCATGTGTTTTGTTTTTGCTGTTTTTGTTTTTAGGCTGCTACAGTGTCGATTTTGGCAACAAAAGCATGTTTGGTGCGGCCTTACATTATTTTACACAGTACTAAAACACTTCGTGAACAGTGGCCCAAAACCAAAACACCAAAAAGTTGTTTTTTCTTGTTTTGACAACTGTTCATGGCCCAAAACCATATTTTGCATGTTTCTGTTTCCGATATTTCCACAGCAAAACATCATTCCCAAACATGCTTTCGATTTTTTTCCAAAACACTCCTACAGCAGAAACACTATTTCTATTTTAGCCAAAAATAAAACGCCTAAAACAAAGCGCATGCCAAACAAGTCCTAAGCGCCCTTATATACTGGGCTACAAGAGAGTACTAAACAAGGCCCACAACCCGCAAGCGGAAAAAAAATATATATATATAGATCAAAAAAATTTCTCAGGGGCACTTTTCAGGTCACAACGCGACCCGGGCTAAAACAAAATTCGGGCCACAGCATCACAGTTCTATTTCAATTCAAAAATCAGTCAAAACAGTTAAATTGTTCTACAACACCCCCCTCTAGGTCTAAATCAGTAGACCTTACACAACTCTCTATCAGAGCCTCGGGTTCCAGACTTCCAGTCCGTAGTCTTTAGTACTATCAGTTATGATAATCCAGTCCAGCGACAACTATTAAATTTGTCTTTCTATAGGTACTCAGCCATGTATAGTAACTGCACAGTGCTGATGTCATGGGGCTGAAATCATTTGTCATGGACTTATTTGTAGCACAAAATACGGATAATTAATAATCGGTATAAATGATTAATGCATCAAAGAATTCATGCCTTTCATTTAAACAGATAAGTATGCCTGAAGCTTCTTTACATAGTAATAGCTAGTGACAGACAGTATGTTTTTATCCTTCTCCGTTTTATGTTTTGACTCTACTAGGAGCTGCTCCAAATTGTTTAATTCTCTGTTTCCCATTTTCTACTCCGGAATCTCCGTTGACATGGAACATAAGAAAAACCAATTGAATGATACATAAATAATTATAGTATAAGAGCAAGATATCATAGCACATGCCTTCAAATCACCTGATGGGTAATTGGTTTGAAACCTGAACTATAAGCTCCATTGGGGCTGCATGAATAAAAAACAAGTTTAAATTAAGAAAGGATAAAAATTAAGAAAGAACATTGACTTAAGCACGCGTTCAACTAAGCAATGATAGAATCTATATTCAAAGATTGTGCTGCAAACTCAATATTTTGTCAATCTAATAGGATCCTAGGCCAAGGGCACAATGGCCTCCCAACAAATGTAAATCAGGGATTAGAAACAGTGCAGTTAAAAACACTCAGGATGAATGGCACATTTGAGTCACGTATCTTTTATTCAAACTGAAATGCCATTGAAACCAAAGAATTACAGAAACTGACCTCAACTAAAACTAGGATCATTATATAGATAAGCAAGAATCCTGACCAGCATATACTAAGGCCCTGTTTGGTTCAGCATTCTGGGAAAAGTCTTTAGTTTTTGCATAATAGAAATCAGAAAACGGAAAGACGGTTTTTTGAAAACTGTAATATGACACATTGAGTTAAAAAGGACTGGTTCATAAAATAGTCTTTCACAATTGTCCTGGAAATATTTACTGTTTCAAAGTTCTAGATAATTTGTTTTTAAAGAATTGCACCAACACAGGCCACATTTTTCAACAGCATTAAAAAAGTGGACATTTTGAGGAAAGTTGATGACTATCGCTAAAATAAACATATAAATAAAATAACCACATGATTTATCTACTTTGGCATGCCCAAAAAAAAAGATTTGTATACATTTTATATAATGATGGCTATCAACAAGCAACACAAACTAGAAATGATTTACAAGGGAAATACTGCAGATACATGGAGACAAAAAATCATCATTAATTTAAAAGTCTCACGTACTGCATTCTATGATAAAAGGTAAAGGTAGACAATGAAGATCAGTTGAGCCTGACGACATTCATCAATTGGAATAATAGAAACAACCAATAAAATTTATCAACTATTGAAAACCACAATGTGGGATCGTGCAAAATGTATTGGACTACAATAAGTAACAAAAAGGAACAAAAAATAAATTCAATGTTGACGAGCTGCCAAATAATGTTTTTTGCTGCCATAGTTTGTGGGCTGCCAAATGAAAACAAATCCATGATCCTGCAAAGTTTGAAGCAAACTTTTTTCTTTTTCTTTTTTTAAAAAAAAAATTCAAATTAATAAAAACTATAATTTATTGATGACTACGAAAATTTAGAAAATCACAAGATGCTTACAGTAACAAAAGTGCAGGTGCATGATGCATATTTTCTTAATGTGGGAAACCCATAATTGGAGGTTCCATAATCTAGGTTTTGCAGATCTTATAATCTGAATGTACACTTTAAAGTGGAAGAAGAAGAACCTTCTATAATCAGGAATTCCACACTCTGTGCTTATTCCAGCACCGGTCAAAACCACAAGCTTGGTACTGCATGGTGGTATATAGCCAATATAACAGAAAATGGTCAGAAATAATTACAAGATAATAAAATGACTGAATTCCATTGCCAAAGAGAACTTAAAATGCACTATGAAACCATATAAATAAAGCTATAGCTTTGGGAATATCAGAATATCTTTTGTTGACCTCTGATCAAAGAATTGGTACAAAAGGTTCACATCTTTCATGCCTGGAGGATCTGATTCAGGAACCAACTTCTTGTCCCTCAAAAAGATTGGAGACGTTTTATTTTTATTTTCCGGCGAAGTGCCAGGAACTGAGATCCTGCATGTTGTTTGTACAGACTTTACTGAGCCCTGAAAAGATACGACTCTAGTCACTCTGCTTGAAGATTGCCAGCTTTTGCTACTTGACAGAACAGTATCTGTACACAAGTTTAAATCGACAGAGTGTCAATCAGGCTAAACTGTGATGCTGAAGACATAAGTATGTAGAATAAGAAGACTTGCCATTCATTATAGTCCCAAGCAGGTCCCTCGCATTTTTAAAAGTCTGCATGTTCAGATAGCAGAGAAGGTTGTTAAAGGGTTCCAAATTGAACAGAAAAATGGTTTGGCATCAATGTTTTTGTGGCTAACCCAAAAAAAGCAATCTGATACTGACATATCCAAAATTATTAGTTTAGATAGTTGAAAATTTTACACTCTCAACCATCATAGAATGGTCATTGACTCAGTGCACCATTACAAGCTCAAGAATATCTATCATCCATTAACAACTACCAGAGTTATATTGAATATATATATACATATATATATATATTGCGAATCTCAAATTAATATTGGTCCTAGCCTCGGCTGGTGTAACCTATTAACAAATACCATAGCTATGTTAAATTAATATACATTCTGACAAACATTTCAAAATTAAAATGTGGCTGATCCTAACATTAGCCAGGGCAATGTACCCTATTTCTTTTATGCTAGTCTTAATTTAAGATCATAAGTGGGCGTATCTGCGATGCTAACCATGTAAAGAAACTAAGAAAGTCGTGCATGACTGTTCTCTTTGTTCAAATTCTCTCCAACTCAAATTTTTTGCTTCATTTTAAATATAATTTCCTTAAAATAAAATCTAATTATACCAATTATATGGGAAGGTTCATTTTCAAAAGATTTTTAGCTTTTTATTTTAATTTTCACCATAGTCAAAATATTGATGCTATAATGGGCAAGAGAAGTCTAATTCGCTCACTCCAATCATTTTTTCCAGAATAGATATTACTACTCATATATACACACACAGAGAAGCATATATGGGTTAGGTTAATTTCACTCAGAAAAAATAAATAATCATTCATATTTGCATGACAGATTGGGAATTCTAAATTCTCAAATTTGGTATTTTCAAGAATTTGAGAGAGAGCGAGAAGACTTACCGACATGAAAGGTCGATAATAAGGCATTCGCATCGCCATGATTATTTGGTTTTGGCTTTGGCTCTGGTTTGTGTCTGTGTGTCCTCTCCTTGTCTCAACATTGAACACATCGTTTATTGCCTGCAAAATTAGGAACAGTAGATTTCTTCTTCCACGTTGCCTATTTCTCTACCGTTTAAAACTATGAATAAATGCGCTCTCTCTCTCTCTCTCTCTCTTTCTCACACACACCACACACGGTTTTGTATCAACGGAGTCATCCCTCCTACCATGCTAACACTCCAATGCAAAATATTATTTTTTTTTATACCAAAACTATATTTTGAGAGGACTATCAAAATAAAAAGAACTGTCAAAATATTATATTTTAGTAATTTTAGTAATGCTTTTCATTCAAAATATTATTTAGAGTGTATTATTTTCATCTGCATGATATATTTTGATAAACGCTATGGTATGATAAAAAAGAGACATCTCCAAAATTTTTTAGAGGTGTGGGTATATGGCAATACTTTTGACCATCTAAAGATATGAAAAGTCTTTTGAGAACTAATTAGAGTGTATTATTTTCATCCACATACTATATTTTGATTTTGAGAGGGCATTAGAGATGCTCTAACCGGCTAATATGGTTTAATTTCAAATGCACACATAGCGTACAATTACAAACTCAGGAAAGTGATAATTAAACACAATAAATTTTGGGGTGATATTAGCACTCCATTTGTCCTCGATTGCACTCCATTTATTTTTTTTTTTTAAAGGAATTGACAAGAAAATACTTAAATTTATAAATGTGCCATCTCTTATTTTATAATATTATAACTACCCTTTATACAATTTTAACTATTTTTTTTACCATATTTACTTCATTTACTATTTTCTTTCTGTGTTCTACTTTCTTTCTTTTTCTTTTTTTCCTCGAAGTCCTCTCAAAGATGATAATTTAATTCATACTAATAATTTTATTTTTGGCCTATAAAAGAGATAATTTATTTAATAGTGACCTTTTCATTTTTTTTTTTTTTTTGTACAATCAAAACAAATAAGTTTTGCAACAAAGGTAACCTTTTTTCTGTCAGAAAAGGTAATTTTTTTTTTTTTTTTTTTTTGGGTAATTTTTTATGAGTCTGTCAAAAGACATAATATATTTAATAAAAATAACCTATTTTTGGGAGTTATCAAAATAGATAATTTATTCAATAGAGATAATTTTTGGGAGGCAATATTGGCACTCCATTTTTTTACACTTGCACTACAATCTTAAATGAAACGGCAATTCAAACCTTAACTTTACCACTAAATGGTTATTAAACCTTAACTTTACAACTAAATGGTTATTAAATTTTAAATGACACAACAACCCTTTCAGATTTCCTCTCCTTATCTCTAATATTTAATTTTTTAGATCGGTTTGACAAGAAAGAAAAAAAAAAATTGAATCACAAGACCCAAAAAAAAAAAATGTGAATAAATTGCTTCTTTTAACCGAACCCAAAAAAAAAAAAAAGGTAAACATTAAAAAAAATTATCTCTTTTGACAGGAATAAAAACCGCCCCAAAAATTATATTTATTAAAGAAATTATCTCTTTTGTCTAGATTCAAAAAGATATATATGAAAAAAGAGGATTCAAAAAAATTATCTCTTTTCATAAGATTCAAAAAATAAAAGGTTATTTTTTGTTGAATAAATTATTTCTTTTGATGGCCCCCATAAAAAATTAGCAAACAAAATTATGTTGAATAAATTACCTTTTTGACCGGATCAAAAAAAAAAAAGAAAAGTAAACATTAAAAAAAATATATCTCTTTTGATAGGAAGAAAATCCCCCCAAAAATTATATTTATTAAAGAAATTATCTCTTTCGTCAAGATTAAAAAAAAAAGTTGAAAAAAAGAGGATTCAAAAAAAATAGGAAAGTGATAATTAAGCACCATCTCTGATTTCCTTATTTATAACTTTCCTAATTTTGTAATTGCAGAGTATATGTGTATTTGTAATTGGACCCCATTAGCGGTCGGTAGGAATCTACTCACCGGTGAGTAGGCAAGTCTTGTCCTATATCTACGGTCTCATGTGTAATTTCCATGTGGCTAGGGCTGCAAATGAACTGAAAGGTTTATTAACATCTCGGGCTCGACTCGTTAAGGGCTCGTTCATTAAGTAAACGAGCCGAACTCAAACTCAATTTATAGGCTCGTTTAATAAACCTCGAGCTCAATTAGCTCGAGCAGTGTTGAGCTCGGCTCTTGAACAAAGCTCGTTTAGGCTCGTGAACAAGCCCGTTAATAATAGGCTCATATGTATTTTCATTTTATTATGTTTAAAGGTTTAGCCCATACAATATATTAGTTAAGCCCAACTCACTTACTTTCATTAATCGGACCAACTGTAAGTAGCCCATCATCACATTTAATCTATCCCAGCAATTGATTTTGGTACTCATAAGTGATAAGAATAAAACCCTAAAGCTAGAAAACTGCAGCCGTATCATCTTCACAACTCCACCGCATAACCCACTAGAAGCCCTCATAATCAATACAGCTCGCTCCATCTCTTTCTTTTAATCCGATTAACTCCAATGTATAATCCATTGGTAGCCCTCCATAAGCCACTCATCTCTCTTGAATAGATCTTAAGGTGGAGCTATGGTGGAAACCTTGTAAGATCTAATTTTATGTTGAAAATTTGTTTTTTATTTGTTCTTTCTTTTCTGTATTTCTTCTTTTTGAAAATTGAGATTAAGGCTGCAAATGAACCAAGTTGTTCACGAATAACTTGGCTCGATGGCTCGGGCTTATTCGTTAAGTAAACAAGTCAAGCTCGAGCTCAATTTCTAGGCTCGTTTAATAAATGAGCCGAGCTTGAACAGTGTTGGGCTCAGCTCGTATAGACTCATGAACAAGCTCTTTTAGGCTCATGAATAAGCTCGTTAATAATTGGCTCATACGTAATTTCATTTTATTATGTTTAAAGGTTTAACCCATACAATATATTAGTTTAGCCCAACTCAGTTACTTTCATTAATCAGGCCTAAGTGTTAGTAGCTTATCATCACATTTAATTTATCTTAGTCATTGATTTTGGTACTCTTACGTGATAAGAATAAAACCTTAAAGCTAGAAGACTACAGCCGTATCATCTTCACAGCTCCACCGCAGAACCCACCGAAAGCCCTCAAAATCAATACACTCGCTCCATCTCTTAATCTGATTAACTCCAACGTATAATCCGTTGGCAGCCCTCCACAAGCTACTCATCTTTATTAAATGGATCATAAGGTAGAGCTATATGTGATACCCTCGAATTTTCACGTGTAGAGTGGTCAGACCCACACCCGAAAACCTAGAGATATCAAAACAATTAGGTAATAAACGAACACATAATACAACAGGAATATAATAAAATAAAAACTAACACCGAAAAGGGAAAACTAAAATAATAAATAAGTCTCAAATCCTTTTATATAAAAAATCTCCAATGTACAACTCAAGAATTCGAACATCATGGACCCCTAATGAAACCCATAACTAAATTAACATCCAAGTCTACTGAATAATAAATAAACAAGCTAAATAATCCAAATGAAGAAGAACTCATACGTCAATGACTCTAGAGAGTGAAGATGAATGCTCTCTGATCAGCACGAACAACCTCTAAGACTGGAACCAATAGGCACCTGAAAAATATAACAAAGGTGGGTCAAAACCTTAGAACAAGTTTTTTCTACAGTAACCCAATTAGAGATCTGATAAGTGATACATCCTTAACCAATTCATGCAATATCTACATAGTCGATAGATATATATATACACACACACTATGGACTCTCACTAGACTATAAGGAAGTCTCAACCGGATAGTGGGTATCTCATAAATAAAAACAATGGCACACGAGATGGTCAAGAGTCCTATTCTATCAGGGCACACACATCTCCTATATCCAGCTACCCATCTCTGCAGGCAATATATGCTTCAGTTCTAACCACTGATCCCGAGACCTTAAGCTCGTATCAAGGTTCACACGTATAATATATATATATATATAACATCATCAACAAAGCCATATCTAACAATGGCACAATGTAGTGTGTCTTGACTTATTAGCTAGCCCACCTACTCATCAAACATCAAAGCCATATCTAACAATGGCATACAATATAAAGGAGCCTATCTTATTAGATATCTCAATGATCCCATCACTAATATTCATCAATATTATCATGATTGCATAATTAATAAATCAAAATGGTATAAGTGAGTCTTAGACTTATTAGTTAGCTCACGTGGTTCCACCACACATACATGCATACATAAGTCTCATCAATATCATCTCTATCAACGGTACAACAAACATATACAGTTAAGGATCATATTTTAGATCACCCACATGTCAATATATATGATTATAGTCGTAAACCAGATTAATACATTTATGATCGCATTTTAAGCATCATAAAGGAATAATAAATAATTTATTAATTGATTTAATCCTTTCTCTAATCCTCCTCCTCCTAACCATATCTATTCACAATACAACATATAGTGCAGCCCTAGACCATGTCTCTAGATCATAGATATTTCAACAATTAAAGATAAAAATCATAAATTAAATAATACATTTAATTCCTTAATTTAAATATTTTAAAAGATTAATTTAACTTATTAATTACTTAATCTTTTCCATAAGTCACAAAGCCTAAGAGTTTGATGCCAATTTCATGCAATTAAATCATAGAACTCTGATCCCGAAGCCTTAGAACATGTTTAGGGCTTAAAAAAATCAAATCGGGGTCATTCGGAGTCAATTTGGGCAAATCTGGTCAATAGTGCTCAAGCACTATCAGTGCTTGAGCACTGGTTTTATCAACAAACACATATAAACACATAAATAATAAATCTTAATTTAATTTAAATTATAGAAACAGGTTTAATTCATCTGTTTAAATCCCCTAAAGTCAAGTTAAAGATGTACAGAATAACGGATAAAAGGGGAAGAGTAAAACATAAAACTTGCTTCAGGTTTTTGGATTAAAAACCAATCTCCAAGTTTTCTTTAATCGCTCTGGTCTTTTTCTCCAATTCCGGCAACCCTTGTCACCTTCATTGTCTTTTCCGGTCACCTTCTTATTCATCTTTTCTCCCTCTCTCTATCATTCTCTATATCTTTGCCTCTCTTTGCAACTCACTTGAAAACCAAAACCCTCTAACA